CCCCCCCCAGCCTGTGCTTTTTACTGCTCAGTATGTGTTTGTTGGTCTGCGAGGCCAAGCTGGCAGGGCAAGGGCAACACAAGGGCAGTGTTTGTGCAGGGCACGGGACTTGCCTTGGTGGCACACACGTACACATACAAACATGCGCGCACACACTTGGCAAAAACAGAGGCTTATTGTGGACTTCAGGCCCAGTTTGGTCCACCCACTACAGTCACACATTGTGTCACATTTTGCATTTTATCTCTGCCTTTTATCTCTTTCTATCTTTTTATCTCATTGTCTATCACAGATTAGTCTGTTTTTTGTTTGTCTCCCCCCCCCCCTTTTTTTTTTTTTTTATTTATTTATTTTTTATTTTAAGTCTTTTAGTGAACTCATGAACTTAACATTCCCATTTATTTTCTACTGCACCGGTTTCCCTTTTTAATTCATCACCTTTTCTCCTCTCTTTTCCAGCCATCTCAGAACTGACTGCTTCTCAGACCCTCCTGAAGAGTCTTTAACATTCCCTCTTTTTTTTTTCTTTTTTTTTTTTTTTGCTCTCAGCCCTGAAGTCTGACAGTATAGTCACAGAGATCTGTGCTGGCGCTGCTTGTATTTATATCTGTACGTAACTTGTGTCCATCCTTATTTGTCTCGTGCCTGAGAAGTGAATCAGGCTCTGTGGGACATCACACTTGCACATCAGACGAGCTCACCCGCTATTCTGTCACCTGCCTCCTCACAGACACAGACTGTGATGAAGCTAAAAAGGTGAACACCTATTCAGAGTTTCAAAATCTTCACTATGCTGGTTTCATTTGTAGTAATTATTGCTTAATGCTTAATATTACTTAACACAGTCGGTATTTTGAAAGGATCAACAGCGTTACAAGACTAATTGTTGGATCTGCACCGCGTATTTGTTCCTTTATTCATTGCTCCCTCCACACTTTGTTGCTTCTGCTACTTTATCTTCTCGTGGAAAACATGCTCAGTGATTCACCACTGTCCCAATATGATGGCTTGCACCACTGAAGCATGGTTATGTTAATAATTACAAGTATTTTCATTGTTCTCTGGCAGTTGGGCACCTACCAATTTGTATACTGCTGAAAACCAACTGGTGGAATCGGGGTGGACATTTTGCTATGTGGACTCAAGAAACTAGGGTGTGTACCACAGACCATGTGATAATGAGACAACCACTCTCCCCCCGGCATAGTTACCCCATAGGCTTGTTGCATCTTTACATGTATGCGAGTTATAATATAGTTACATCTTGCATACATGAATATTCAAAAGTACATTTTCTATTACACTCAGACATGCTGAACGTGACAAACCTAACCTAAGAGAACCAGCTGTACTTTCATTGAACATATTTGTTCTAGTTGGGATAAAATGTGTCCTCTTTTAAAAGGTACCAGTTGATGAAGGGGATGAGATTGGAAGGGTTTTGGCTAGATCATCTCTACAACCCATACTTCCACTCAAAATCGGGTTACTGATAAAGTCTCATTGGTTAGAGCAAGCAAAACTGTGATGACTTTCACAGGTCTCATTAGTAATGATGCACCAACCAAAGCAAGGATTAAAAACGCTTTGTTCAACTTTGTCTATGGCGACATCCTGAATAACATCCAGAAGTCTCTCTAACAAAAATCATCTGTTGTTGACACCTGAGTGTTCATGAACTCAGAGATGACCTTCTCCTAAGGAATGGTCATCCTGCACAATCTAATCTAAAAGTCTTAATGGAAAGATGTAAGGGTATCACAAAAGTCTCAGAAAAAGTATTCAAGCGTGTTTCTATGAGCGCACTTCCCAGACATTGTGTGGTGGACACATGGGATACAAAATGCACTCTGAAAGAAATTCATCACTGCACACCAAAACCTTATAACTGTGAAACATGGTGGAGGGAGCATCATGCTTTGTGCCTGCTTTGCTACCTCAGGACCTAGAGCCTACCATACAGTTACTTAAACAGTGATTTCAATATTGTTTGTAAACCTTGGAAATCCCTTCAAAGCCCTTAAGGCTTGAGCATTTTTTTGAGCTTGGTTAAGTCCATACATCAGAAGGCAAATCTTCATTCCGTTCTTTCTGCTATATTCTGAACATGGAGTTAAATTCCCTGGGGTCTTACTCATTCCCTTTGGGAGAGGAATATGAGGAGAATTATGCATTGATCTAAAAGCAATCTGTGGTGCACAGGAAAAGGATGTTTCCATTGCTCTGTCTGTCATGCTTCATTTCTCCTCCACTCAGCTAATGACCCGGTCTTCCTGATACACAAATAGAATGCAAGGAGAGCATATTAGACCTTTTGCTGTCATTCAAACTTGATACCATCTAAACGCAGTCTTGCACAGTCACAATTTATCTGGTGGAGTGGCACGTCATGATGTCACAGATGGATATAGTTTGATGTGGTTGTGCACAGTTGTCACAAGAGATTTCTCAGACGTGGATATTAAAGAAGATGGAGCTTTGCATGTTGTTTCATGTCTTGTCTGTGATGTAACCGTGTCATAATGGCTTGGATATGATTAGTGTCAAGGTGGATGAATGGTGATGCAGCATCTGTCACATTGATTCCAGGTTTACTAGTAATTGTCTTTATTGTAATGCATCAGAAAGTTTGGCATAAAGTGGCTGAGTGTAATAACCTGTTTATACAAGATGATGGTGTGATCGTGATGTGATGCTCATTTTCTGGTTTCTCTACTGTTTGGCTCTAATATTTATTCATATAGCCTTGAATAAGGCATTGCAAGTGATACCATGTTCAACAGTGATGTTTGGCCTCATTGGTGGCCAAGATATCACTCTTGAACATAATGTGGAAGGATTTGCTTAATTTACTTTCTATGGGAGCCGCATGTGGGCAGAGTGGACACTCTTGTCATGTGTTTGACAGATTTTCTATGCGCAAGCAAGCATTATTGTGCATATTGTATAGTACATTGGATATACTAGGTATTGTATATTGGGTAGTCTACTACACAGCAAATGCCTATTTAAAAACTGGCTCTGTAGTGATTTTCAAACAACAACAAAAAAAAAAAAACTGTCCAGTCTCTGATTCAGCGTCCATCAGCTTTTATGAATGACTAGTTGGGACTTTTTTTCCCTGGGTTTTTTTTTTTTTTTTTGGTCACTCACTTCCTGTCTGGTGTCATTATTTCCTCTTTAAGAAGTGGGTGTATACCATTGTGTCACAGGAGCCAGTGACACATGGCGCACTCTTGGCTGACCAGATGTGGTTTGTTCATGTCAACCCTAAAGATACGCTCACTTCATTCATGTTTTCTCCCGGATACAGTATGGATGTCGTCTTGTGACTGAGAATATTGTTTTGCTGGTGAGTTGGTTTCATTTCTGGTCCCTGCTCGTTTCCTATGTTGTGAAGATGATTTGGTTTTATATCATCAGATGAGTCATGTGGACAATGAACAAGAAGGTGTTCGGTACAAAAGAAAGGAAGTTGATTTTGTTAGAAATTGAATGCTTTAAAGATGAAGTGTTTATAAGTAAGTCTCATACTTGGCACGATACCTAAAAATATTACACCGCTGCATTGCTCCGCAGTCACTTCTGTGGAAATATGTCTGAAAAGTTGTGCACACAAACATGTCTAATCACCGACACAGTCACAGTGTGTCACAGTTGAAGTGACCGTTATGCCTGAATGTGTGTTTACCGTCTACAGCCACCACCTATGTCCACTCCTAATGACAGTAAGCAGTAGTACTACTTCTACTACTACTTCATGGGTGAATCACAGCCAGGGCTACACACCTCAGCTGATCACTTATCCACACAGCCGCCAGATAAACTCCTACTACAGATCTTAACAGCTTTTCAGTCAACCTACACACAGACTAGACTGTGTAGCTGATTCAAAGCAAGCGTTAAAGTTATGAAAAACAGTAGATTCATGCCTGCCTCTGTGGTAGCATACCAGTCTGTAATACCTGAGGTAGTCATTTCCTGTTGGTTTTTTTTTTTTTTGGCTTTTTAAGTAAACCTAAAGGCATTCCTTTTTAATAAATGGGTTATCTCCCACTGCTGATTCAAATTTCAGGGTTTCTTTTTTTTGCTATCTGTGATATGATTGTTTTGTCTATGGTTTGTGTGGAGGGAATAATCTTTGTTATATTCTACAACTTCTCACGCTGAGTTTCATTCTGTGCCATTGTGGTTTGTGGCTGAAACTGAAACAAGAAATGTGGTGCAGGTGCTAATATGCAAAGTAGTACCGGTATACCAAGAAGTACACTGCTGGCATCAGTGCTGAAGCTGTTTGCTTACTATAACTATATATAGACTCTCTCATTTAAATGGCACCAAATCACTTTTTCAATGTATCAATGTGCCCTTTAGTTTATAAAATATATGAAATCTATAAAAAATTGCCAAGCCTAAAGTGATGTTTAATAGTTGGGGTTTTTTGTTTTAGTTTTTAAAGAAGCTTGTTTTTAATCTTGTGCACAGTCATGCCCACATCCAGACAAATGTACGCACATGGACACACGCGTACACACTGCATGCCCAGAAGTGGAAAAGCTGACTCAGGCAGCGTCTGTCTTGCATATATTTGTCTGTATAGTCATTTACGGGAGGACAGTGGTTTGGAGTGGAGAGGTGAAGAGGTCCTAGATCCTCTTTGTGAATCTTTATTTTTAGCACAGTGTGAAGGAAAATGTGTCACAGGACCCTTAATCACCAGGCGTGACCTTTTACGCATACACCATTTATTTAAGCCCTGCTCCCCTTTTCTTTTCTTTTTTTTTTTTTTTTTTTTAATTACTTGTACACAGAGATGCACAGACACACTCACTCCATTGTAGAGAGCCTCACAGGCTTCTTACTGTTAAACAGAGAGCGCTTTAGAAAGGGAGTGCTGAGTAATACCAGTGTTACTGTTAAATGCATCTGGGCATGAAAGCCATCACAACATTCAGACTAGTTCAGAGGAAGCAAAGGTTCACTTTGTTTCTTCTGTGGTGTGAACTCAGTGATTACTTGGTTTGGTTGTGGTGTCTGCTAAATATCAAAAGTTGTTAGTCAGGGTTCTCCGTTACCTTTTTGTTAATTAAATAAAAAAATAAAAAAAATCGTAACAAAGGAATTACTTCTCTTCTTTTACTGGTCTCCTTTGATTTACCCACAAACCCTGTTCCCAGTGCATTGGCAGCTGTCTGATCAAAAGACTAAAGGATTCTGGGATGTGAATAGACTGTAGCTGTGTTCTTCCCAGGCAATTTCTTTTGTTTTCTTTTTTGTTTTGTTATATTTGTGAGAGGTTAATTCCAAAATAAAGAAATGTTAGACAAGAAATATCCATTTGTGCTTTGTTTTTTGAAAGTGTTGCCTAATAATCGTCCTCATATTGCACAGAAAACGAAGGACATCCAAGTAGGATCATATTTCTGCGCCTCCAACCATCAGGAGTCATCAGAGTTTGCCTGTGGAGTTTGGGAATGGAGGCTAACATCGTGATGCGTTGTTTACTTAGCCATCTTCAGGCCAACTGGATGTGCCCCTTCAGGCTTCTCTGTTTGTTGCCACATGAAACGCTCTTTCTTTAACTGAGCTTGCAAAGCCGCTTGTTCTTCTCTGATCCTCCCGCTGAAACCTGACCTAGCAGCAGACCTCTGGCTGACTGCCACCACATCCTCAATAACCCTGCTCACCTGTGTGTGTGGTATGTGAGAGCGAAAGCGGCTGAGTGTCTGCATCACAGCAGGATGAGACTGTATTCAAGCTGTCTGCTGTGAAAGTGTCATTTTTGAAGCATATAATTAGAGAGAGGGGTGTTACATGCGTAGATGAGCTTGCACATGCACTCGTTCATCCATCCCTGATAACATGGTGCTGTGCTGTCAGTGTTTCAGACAGACATGGTGTCAAGTAACTCGTGTTTGTAACTGCGCACCTTTGTGGCATAACAAGTTTGCCATTGTCTGACCTGTGACTGTTAGTCTCAGTGGCTACTTGTGGTTTTCTGTTTGTCGTGTGAGGACACAGAGCAACACGAGCACACACTGTCTGCAGTATCTGGGTGGTTTTTTGTTGGGTTTTTTTTGGATTTTTTGTTTTGTTTGTTCTTTGTTTTGTTTTTTTTGTCAAGGCAATAGTCTATAGTTCCAGAGCATACAGAAACACGCACGAGGCTGATTGCATTTGCATGGTTGATCATGTTAAATGGCTGGGATCATGGCTCCAAATGCACCGCAGATATTGCACCACACTCAGACACGTGGTGAAATGGTTGCTCATATATGGCTTGCATGAGCACTTAACATAGAGGAGAAAGGCCATTAGAGGCAATCAGAGCTGTTGTTTTTAATGGGCTGATCGAGCTGGAATGGAGATGGCCCTGTGGCCTGGAGGAAGAGTTAATGTCCCGGGCCACTCGAGGACAACGTAATGAGAATGCAGGTGGAAGTGGTGCGATGTGCAGCTGTGGTTGAGGCAAAGGCCCAAATGGAAACCAGATTGTGGAGATATATATATATATATATTTTTTTCTGTTTTGTTTTTTTTAACACTACAAGATGGAAAATCACTTATGCCATCTGTATGGAACTTTATGAGGTAAACGGGGAAGGTGCATGAGTTTGTCCGCCTCTCTTTGATTTGACTATATGCATAGTATGTGCCGATTACATGGCTTGGAGACTCTTTGCATCTGCCAGTAATGAACTGTTACAAAAATAGCCTCACCATGCTCACTTTCACTTTGGCACCAGCCTCTGAGTCTACTGACATATTCAGTAAATGTCTGTATACATGATTCATATTTGTGTGCATTCCTATGCATGCAGAACCCCGTTGAGTGTTTTCATTGTATGTGTGGTTTGTTCCGGAGGCACCAGATTGTCAGATGAGGGGAAGGCAGGCTGAACTTTTGTTCTGTTTGCTTAGTGGGCATTCTTCTGCACTCTGGCCCTCTTCCAAATTAAAGCAGCGGCTTCCCACTGGACTCAGCGCAGCGCTTCCGTCACAGGGACACAGTGACACTGAATCATCTGCGCCTGTCAACTTCTCGCTAATGAATGTATGAGCGTAAAAACGGCACAATAGTGGGGCGTGTTTGTGTGTGTATAACTGGATCTCTGATTTAAAAAGTTGGTGCTGTTGTTTGGTGAGGCTGGATTGTGTTTGGAGTCTAAGAAGCAGTTTTGGGGTTTTTTGTACAAATGAAAGTTTAAATTTGTGACAACTGTTTGCTGGGTTGTTGAAATGCAGTACAAGTTTAATGCGTGTACATCTTTTCTTCTTGAAAAGCCTTAAACATCTCCTTTTGACCATATTCAAATCTCTTACATCAGTTTGAAAATGCTGTCAGCTTGTCTCTTAAGTTAGTCGAGCTTATTCTGGGTTAGGTGGGGAATTACTCATTATTTGGCATCTGTTAGTAGTTGTTTGGTTTTTACAGTAGAATAGCAACAATGAACTTAAGTGTACAATTTGTGTGTCTGTCCAGGTCCTTATGGTTGAGGTGGTGTTAACTGCCTCTTGCCATGCCTCCCGCCATGACAGACCTCCTGGACATATGGGCGGCACACTCACCTCTGGCCGGACACGCTCCGGACCAGATCACTGTGGACTTTTTGCTTCCCACTGGTATTTATATCCAGATGGACGTTCCACGCGAGGCTACAATTCAGCACATCAAACTGGTGAGTGTCACTGGGTTGGTGACTGCACAGGTTTCCTAAGCAACAAGGTTATTTAAAGTTTTTGTTTTGACCAGTGTTAATATTACACATCAACTAATTAAACATCTTTCAGTATCCTGCTCTGTTTACACACTATCTGTACTCTAATTTTAACTGTACTGTACTCTGCTTCGGTAACTATTGTCCATGATGTAAATATGTAAAAATTGTTCCTGTTCTGTTTGTATATGTTTTGTTTTTGTTTTGCTGCATATACAACAAAATTTCCCCTTGTGGGACAATTAAAGGATTATTCTATTCTAAATACTTAATCAGTTCATATAAAATTCAACTGGGAACCTACTTTGAGGACTTCCTTTGCTTATTGTGTAGTTGTTCCTGCATGCCTTTAGGCGTGCTGTCACATTAAGGGAAAACAGAGGCTGCAGCCCAACATTCAGACAGCTGGTCAGTCAGTCAGACATTATCCAATGCCTGTTTTGACAGAGGTGATTGTTGTGGCTGGCAGAGTGTTTTTCTGTTTGCAAATGGCTTGTGATGTCAGCTTATAGGTGATGAGGCCATATGTGAGTGGAGGTCAGAAGTCACAGACGTGATGAGGTTCACAACTCTAAGAAAATAACTTTGAGGCATGTGTTGACAGCGTAGGTGTTTGTGTGCGTGTGGCCCTCATTCACAGCACAATCAGATTCCTTCTGTAATGACTGACTGTATGAGAACACAGATGCTCAGTCCTAAGCTGTACCAGCTTCTGCAAAGGTAGCATTTATTGCTCTCAGTACAGGGCTGTTTATTGGATTGCACAGAATTTTTATTTTTATAATTCTGGTGTAAAACAAACATGTGCTGCACTGAAACACAAAGTCATTATTTCCCCAAAAAGGGCACCATTTAAAGCCTGAGGAGGTGGGTTGTTGCTGTGTGTACAGAGTGTCTGCTATTCATTGACCGCAAGTCCTGATTTCTGTCTGAAATTCATGGGTCTTTGAAATAATTCTTTTTTTTTTTTTTTTCCCCCACTGAGGTCTGCGTCCTTGCACACTGGTATAAACCCATACACGGACATGTTTGCATTTAAAAAGTACATAAACCTGTGAATCAAACAGAGGCCATGTTTGTGAAAGGCCGGAGGCTGTTAGTTTAGCTAAAGGGTAGAATATTCTTTAACTTTTTGCAGGCTTTCAGACCGTCTGTACAGAACTCTTTATTAGTGATCATATGGCCAGCAGTGGGCTTGTGAATGACTGTTTCTTTCATTCACAAGCCTCCATTCATGTTTCAGACTACAGCCGAGCTCCCCAAAATGTTTTACAGCGATTCTGGGAAATGACAGTTATCATTTGAAACTCTTTATTTTCCATTTGTCACATGTTGAGATCACTTGCTCGCAAAAGCAGTTCAGAGAAAGTAACTGTGGGAAATGTTTTGAGTGTTTGTGGAGAGGAGAGAGGAGGCTTGTTCTGTTTTGCCAGAGTGCATCTCTTTTTCCTCACAAAAAGACTCTCTCTTTGACACCCATCCTGTGATCAGGCTGTGGGGGGCAAAGGGGCATGTAGTGTACCACCAGGGGCTGGCAGGCAGGGGAGTCGTACTCTGATTGCCTCACCCAGAAACTGTGTTGTAAAGATATGAGTCACGTCTATTCCTCATTCTTGAAAATGCTCTCAGCCTTGTTTTATGAAACTGTCAAATAAAATGTGATGTTGTTTATTACAGTTGCTCATTTTATGTAAGATTTATTTATTATGGGCTAATGGCTACAATAAAACACACAGTGTGATTTTTGTGGGGTATAAATACCTTATTGGAACATATTTGTTCTTCTCCCTTCTAGCTCTTATGGAAGCAGGCTCAGAGCTTCCCACTGTTTCCTGCACTCGGCGAAATGGAGAGCCACATGTTCGAGTGTGTCAACCAGGCAGCCGTACACGAAGAGCTGGAGGACGAAACACGTCGGTTGTGCGACGTTCGCCCCTTCCTGCCCGTTCTCAAGCTGGTGATGCGCAACTGTGGTCGAGCAGAGCGCCTGTTGGACTCCAAGATCGGCGTGCTCATCGGCAAGGGTAATGCAGCATCGCTTTTAAGACTCTACCTCGGTTTGAAGCAGTACATTATCACACAAGATCTCTCACATGCGTTCCTCCGCTCCGGATAGATTCCTTTATTCTCAGTGTTTGACATTTCCAATAAAGAAAAGCACTTAAGAGCTGGTAAATGGGACTGTAAATCTTTCCTACCTCACAACAAGCCGTTAGCACCTCCTCCAGTATGCTAAGCAGCTCTCCCACTCAGCACGCTCACCCATGCATTCAGACCCAAGGCTCCTGTGCAGATGGCTTCTATCACTAACTGATAGAGAAGCGTGATGTTTGACTGGACGTGTTCCTGACATGCCTTCCATCACATGTCACTTTGCATTTTCTCTGAAGATTGGGCCTTTTCAAAGAACACAGGGGCTCTGTCACTACTGTATAACAGCCCAGTCCTCTGAGGTGATTAACTATTTGGAGGAAAAGCAGTGTTAAGTCTTGAAGCAAGGTGAAAACCTTGCGTCATGATCAACACTCAGTTTGTTTATCATACATGAAAGAAGGCACAGTAACGTTGAGTTTCGGGAGTGATTCCTGAAAGCGAGCGTAAACGCATTACAGCGGGCTGCAGGTAAAGTATAGTGGAAAGTCTTTTCAGAGATTTTAAAGGCAAAATGATGCCGTGACTAGTGAAGAGAATAACAGAGGTTAATCAGTAATGAAAGGGAAGTAGTGTAGCCCCATTGGATTATTAAACAGACACACATTCAGCATTCTTCCAACCAAGAGATTAAGGATTGGAAGTCCTTTGTTCTTCAAAGAGGAAGAGAAGAGCCTCTGAGTGTAATTGATCAAGACTCAGGTGATATTGATATTCTCCCCCCCGACTCCACTTTGGTCTGACCTGATCTCTTAAAGGCTTTTGAAAGAGTAAAGCGGTGTTTCAAAGGGAACCCCACAGGCTTGTCTAGAAGGTCAACACACACACACATGCACACATACACGTGTCAACCATGTTTTCCCCCTCCAGTAATGCAGCCACACAAACTTGGTCTACACAGCTAATGTGCTTCAGAGCCTTCTTGAATGCTGAGGGTCATATGAATGTGAAATGCCTTTAAATGTCAACATGTTTTCATTACTCAAGAGTGAATGAAAGTACCCTTTAAAAAAAATAATAATAATAATCCAGTGATAAAAGCAGAGGGTGGACTGTGATCAGCCCAACAGCAACTTATACCTCTGTGTGTGAATATTAAGGGGCTCTACTGTAATCCAACATGGAGACAGTCATCATTTTATGCACATTCATTACTGCTGGTGTCTGGCACTGAACATCCCACAGGTGGTTGTGCATTTTCTATTAATTTTAAAGCCTCTGTGTTCAAGTGTGTTACTTTAGGAATATTCACCATCTTCCTACTCGTTTCTCTTATTTCAGAAGTTTCGTACTGACTTTGGTTAAAAATGCTAATTAATTTTGTTCCATACTAAGAATCCACATTGCCATTTTTAATAAAAACTCAACTTGACCATTATCAGTCTTTAAATTGAACCTGTTATGCTTTGTATGATGTAAAAGAGAGGGAATATCTTTACTGTGTTCCTCTCAAGCAGATGGCCCCCACAATGGGCTGTTCAAACCTTCTGTTTGTGAGTCAGAAGAAAGAAATAAACTGGCTTATAGGGAACAGCTGGAACAGCTTGTTTCAGTAGATGAACTGAAGGGCTGCAAAGTTGTTGATGAATTGGTTTAAGTCAGTTTTTTTATTTATTTATTTTCTTTATAAATGCTGATTTCTTGTAACATTAAGAATCATCAATTTAGATTTGTAGACAAATTACTGATATCCAAGTGCCCCTCTTTCTTAAAGTGGTGGCACGGCTTTCTTTTGCAATGTTGTAACGGTGTCCTTTACTCGTGCTCTCTAGGTCTCCATGAACTTGATGCCTTAAATGACCAGGAGGTGAAGGATTTTCGGAGTAAGATGTTTCGGATCAGTGAAGAGAGGATGCAACAAATACAAATGATGGCATTCTCGGAGTGGGTGCAAGCCTGCTACTCCCCACAGCTGGAGCCTGCGGCAGTGACCGCGATCACAGCCGGAGTCAACGATGCACCGGTGGACCTGAAAGTCATTATCCACTTTGACCAGTCCCAGGTGAGGGTCTGTAATGCAGAACAGTGCAGCGTAGCTTAATCAGTGGCAGTTTATGTAGGATAAATAAAAAGGATACACTGAACTATAGATGCAGGAGGTAGAGCAGGTCTGCTAATCAGAAGGTTGGTGGTTCGAGCCCTGGCTGCTCCAGTATGGATGCCAAAGTATCTTTAGGCAAGATACTGAACCTCAAGTTAGTCCTTTGGAGTGTGAATGTTACATAGAAAATTTGGGTATAAAAAGCATTTAAAAATGCCTGTAAAGTAGAACAGAAAACTAGTCTTTACTAGTTTAGTCTTTGTGTTTTGTTTCTTTTTTTTTTTTTATTATTATCATCAAAGAAGGCTACATTTTCATTTCATTCAGATGCATAAACATGGGTTGGAATAAATGAGTCCTGCACAGCTTTATAGCCATTCTGTTTCAAAATGGGCCTAAACAGGATAATAGATGTTTTTACCTTCACTTCAAAATCATTCTGTAAAGAAGTGTTTTCTTTATTATAGTCCTGTAATTTCATAAATGCAAGGTTTGTGATGAAAAACTCAATCATGTAGTTCACAGGTTGCAGCTTTCTTTAGAACGCCTCATCCAGTCTGGTCTTTCTTCCACAATCGCTGAACCTCTTACGGCTGTCCTCTTTTCAAAACATCAGCTTTAATCATTTTTACAGCATCAATAAAACCTGTTATACTTCCTCTCAACAGGCTCTGGCCTAGCGGTGTAGGAATAAGTCAAAAAGAGAACTTATTTTGGATGATCTTAGACCTTTCCTGAGGGTTTTGACAGCTGACATTAATTCTTAATTTCTATTTTTAAAACAAGTTCATATAATGTATCCTCGTGTTGCTTCATTTTGTGCTTATATTGCACGATGCTGAGAAGAATCCTCAGTGAATTGTGGCTAATTTATATATCTATTCTATCATTTTTCTACTGCAATCGGCAAGAGTAGACAAAAAGACACTTGAGTAATATTTTTGGTGTTGAAAATAGAGCATGAGTGCTAACGAAGAAGCTGTCTTTGTTTTGTAATGAGCTTTACAATATACGTGTAAAGTTTTGTCTGTTCAACATCTCTGCATACATAATGAATTGAGAATAACCGTGTGACTTACTGCTCCACTACAGAAGACAAAACCACCTTGTTTTAGAAGCAAAAGTAACCATGTGACTCCACCAGCGCAGGCACATGTACTGTAGCTCAGCCTCTTTTTTTTTTTTTTTTTTTTTCCCCCCCCCCCCCCCCCCTGCTCTCACAGTTGGCAGCTTCACAACAGTCACGTGATTGAGCCCAACTAGCAAGACATGTGACAACAATAAGTGGGTCAAAACCATCAGTGAAATTATGCCATTCTCTCAGATGCACGCACACATTAGCATGGCAGCTCAAGGGACCAAAATGCTGATTAAAATGAGCTCCCTTCTTTTCTCTGAACTCACTTGACTATGTCCCTCCATCTGTCTCGGCCTTTCTCTTTGCCTCTGTAATAGAAATAATATTATTTAATAATAAAACAGATGGTCACATCCCTCCAGACTCCTGTATATCAGCTTTGATCAACATCACAGGCACACACATGCACATAATACAAAGACTGACCATCTGTGCCACCGCACTCAGGTGAACATTGGCAGGAAGTCTTATTTTGAGAGATCAGACACAATAAGCTACATTATAGACAGGAAGTGCAGTGGTGTCGTTTATTGTTCAGAAATAACCAGGGTTTGGTGTGGACTGTCTAAATCATTGACCGACTTCCTCCTCCATGTTCACGTCAGTATCCAAATCAAGTCTCATTTTAGCATTTAAAATATGGCTTTTATAGTCACCAGCATGTAATTGGAAAAACTTTTAATATCTCTGCTGTGTGTAGATCCTCACTAATGCAGCTAAGGTTGCTTTTTTTTAAATTACTAATGAAGGATGGTTTTTATTAAATCGCCAGGAAATTAAAAGCAATTCCATCTCTGGTATCGGGTCAGTGCTGTGCTATAAATGGCATGACGCAGTGAGCCTCGCGGTCACACAGCAAACCTGGTAGATTCCCTGTGATAAGGCGATGGAGGCTAACACGTATTTGAACACATATCAGTGGAAATCCTGAATGAATTCAGCCATCAGTGTACCAAGTGATTACATGTATATGAACTCACTCTGTGTATCAGTTACTTGTACACATGAAAATTGAGAGAGACTTTTATTATGGTCTTATAGATCTTATATCATTACTTGTTTCTCAGTGTTTTACTGTGCTCTTCCTGTTTAAGATGCACAAGCAAATGCAGCTTCTAGGTTTATATATACAAATATGAAATGTTTGTATTTAAATCATAGAGGGTACTAAATGTGGAGTCTAGTGATTAAATGGCAGTAAAACATTTAACTATAAAAGCCATTTGCAGCTCATTTTTGTGTCTTACCCTTCTGGCATTTTGTCATCTAGATATGACCAAATATACACACAAATGATGATTTTTTTTTAAAAACAAAACAAAACAGCTATTATATTCTCAGATGGTCCCAAATACATTTTGACCAGTATTAAACACTTGACTGTCTATTTTCCCTTCTTGCAGGACTCTGCCAGTCTGAAGGTGTCATTGTCTTGCACCCCCAATGAGCTGATGGAGCAGGCTTTGAAAAAGTGGCTGACCACCCACGGATCTGAGGACGCGGTATGGAGGGGTCAGTATATACTGAGGGTCAGCCAATGTCTGGAATTCCTTGGTGGAGACCATCCACTGATTCAATACAAGGTCAGTGGCTGCATATCAAAGCTGTGTTTAAGTGTCTGTGAGTGGCTGATGAACTTCAACATCAACTTACATGTCTCACTTTCAGGTTCATGCACAGATATAGCAGATACAGTCTTCTTAAAATGTTGTTGCTGCTGTATAGTAATACCAATAGGGAGACCACCGCAACTGAAGGTCAAAAAGGGTCTCGCAGTGTTATTACTGTGACAGCAACACACCAAAGCCTGTTTTCTGATTGCAACGAAAGATGTTTACAAGTTCAAGTAGTATAAGGTTGTACTCGAACCATCAGCATCAAATTGGTTTCTAAGAAATATTTTCAGTAGAGGTTTATTTGTGGGTTCTATTTCTTAAAAAAATCAAAATAAAGTGTGTTTGTGTGCAACTCATTTCAACTGTTTTGGAGACAATTTGGAGCACGATTACAGCTATTTGCTGAAACGTATGCTCACTAGTTACTCTTTATTCCCCTTAAGAATTATACGTTGTGTTTTGTGGGGTTTTTTTGCACATTAATTTTTCAGAGTAATCAATTGCAAGCTTACGTTTTCTTGTTAGTTCATTCTGAATATGAAACAACTAAGCATGATAAAGTTTAAGTGATATTGAGCAGTATGATGGATGACTCAAAACTGCCAAAGTATTAGCTTGCGTGTGTGTGTGTGTGTGTGTGTGTGTGTGTGTGTGTGTGTGTATATATGTATATGAATAAAAAAATAATAATTAATAATTTTTTTAATTTACGTCTGAAATTCCATTGGGAAACACTGCCAGGTAGAAATCATGAAATATTTTGTTTTATAGATTTCTTAGGTCGGTTTTTATTAGTCCAGCAGTGTAAACGTGTGTGTAAAGATATAGTCACATTTTTATGCATCTGAATCTTGTTTGGATCCATGTGGGCAGGCTGCATGATGTGCTTTTAAAATATTAAAAATATAATCAAGATAATAATGAAATACCTGAAATTGTTTGTGCGCAGTCTTCCCTGTTACATTGAAGTCTGCTGACAAGTCGAACAGAGATTAAATTTCACTTCTCATTTATTCTGTCTCTAGCTCATTAGCTTAAGTGACTTTAGCACTTTTTCTGCTCCAGAGACTGCTTTAACATGACATGGCTACAACTTCCTAAAATCTCCTGTCCTGTCTTGTGTGCAGTACATTCGCTCATGCCTGCAGGCCAAGGAGGCTCCCCACCTCACCCTGGTCCACACCAGCACTGTAAAGACTATGTTTGACAAGGAAATCTCAGCCATTGGAGCTGTGGTTAGCCGCAAGTCCTCCAACCCACCTTTACCGCTACCTCCCAAGAGAAGGGCTCCCACGGTTAGTCCAAATATTATGCATGACTCTGTGAACAATATAATTTTTATGAGTGTGTCTGCTAATCGGCTGATGTTGTTTTCAAAGAAACTGTGCTTTGCTAACAGCTGTACATCATCTGATTTGATGGCGATTTGTTTGACGTGATCAGGCCTAAACAGAGGGGGTTGAAAATGTAAGAAAACGTTCTTATGTGCACTAGATTACAGTGACTTGATATCCACCAGCATTTGCTGCTCTCGCATCAATATAAGAAAAGTTGCACACTTTAGTCGATTCACCTGCACAGGTGTGGAGGTTTAGTAAGTAAACAAGTACTTTTGGCAGGTGTCTCTTTTATGAGGCAGTGTGTCAGCCTGTACTGCACTACCAGCATTTGCCACGCTGTCAGGAAATCATTGCCAGCGTCTTGGCACTGCTTGCAGGTGCACAGTGACATCACAGCTCAATGCGTGCATCCACATTTTAAATGTCAGGTTGAATTTCATTGGCCTTCATTAGCTAGTCTCCTAGGGGTTTTAATTGCCTGATAATGTTGAAGCCCCGGTGATGTGTGGTTTCAAAAGTTGATAAATATTTCAACCATGAGTTATCTGATAAAGGATTGAAACGTTAAATTTATTATGTAACGCTGCAGGAACAGCTACGGCTTCATAACCTTTCCTTATACTTTGTACCTGCTTGATTTAAGATCTCTGTTCCTCTGCAGTACTAACAGCCAGTCATTTCACCGCCCTTCCATTTCTCACTTTGACTGCATGTAGCATACACTCCCTGCACTGAAACTATCACAATCATTTTGTGTCATGATTTGTGTCCTATCATGAAGTGACATTTATTCCAAGAACACAATTCCCTGTGATATCTTGTACCTGTAATTTAATTTCACTTGAATTAGTTTTAATTGCCTCAGCTCTGAAGTTGGTATATTTTTTTTTCCTTTTTGTAACGCCTCTTGCTCAACATTGAAAATGTCTGTTAATCAAAACAAACTTTGCACTTTTTTCTTTCTCTCAACATCACAACAAGAGAATTCCTACCTCAGTTATCACCCTCTCACTAAACAGCTGTAACACCTTGCTTGTTATCTGTGAAGCCTTAATTGTGATTATATGTATGTCACTTGGACCTGGGCTGATATGGAAAGTGTAATCAAGGTTTTCTATTTACTGATGGCGCAGTTTTTACCTGGTGGGGTTTTAACTACAGTTAAGAAGCATTATGATTTTTCAGTAGTTGTTGTGGTTCTCAATGACAATGTGTACTAACAGTATTGTGAAGATTAGGGGTTGTTTTTTTTTGTTTTGTTTTTTTTTTGGGGGGGGGGGTTACCTGCCATCAAAAATGCACTAAATGCTGCTCTGTTTAAGGGCTAATAGTAGAGCAGAGTATGAAACTAGATCTGAAGCACAGTGTATGATGCAACCACGCATCTCCAAACTTTGTCATATAAGTGGCTAAATCACAGGTAATGGAAACTCATGGATGTACTCATGGATGTAACTCTTTCCACCGTATTAAATGCAGACAGATATAGATCCAAAAAGTTCTTTGTCCACTGAGTTAAGATATAAATCATTTTGAGTGAGTGCATGGCACGTGTAAATGTGTTCATGGTCTATGATGATTACATCTCCTATCACTTCCTCTTGTTGTTGTTCTAATTAGTCTAAAAAAAGCTTACATTTTAAAGTGTTTTTCTTTTGTTTTGTGGACTTTCGCATATTTTCTGTGCTTTTTCTTTATTATATCGGTCTTGTCAGTGTTCTTTAAAGTACCATAGAAAAGAATGGTGCAATAGAGGAAGCAGACAGAAACGGACACTGGGCAGACTTTAATAAGGTTGCTGTAGAATTGCGGCTATTTGAGACAGGAAGTGAGATTTTATTTTCTTGCAAGGAAGTGGTTATTGGATGCTCTGCTGTTGGAAAGCTGACTGATAATTAGAAAAGAAAACAGAAGTACGGAGTGGTTTTTTTGTTTGTTTTTTTGTGATTATGCTTTACTTGACATGGAGCTGTTTCTGCCTGCAACAGTAGAAACAAACAAACGTACTTCCATCTTTTCTGATAAGGGATCACGTTGACATTACATCAGTCTAATCACACAGGAGCAAAGAGACGGGCAGGAAGTGTGCTGCGTTGTTCATAGTTTGTAGGTGTCATGTGACTCTGTTTGTTCTGCTGACTTGCTGACCCTCACAAATCCACTTGGCTTGACATCAGACTGACCTGCCTGACCTTTCCTGTTGTTTGTGCCTGTGTCTGGAACTGTTGCTGTTTTTTGTTTTGTTTTTTTTATTTAGTTTTTAAGCATTTGAGTGTGTATATCTTCACAGCACATTATGCCAGTCCCTCAGTTTTGTTTTGTTTTTTTTCCTCCTCACTCTTCCTCTGCAGCAAGTACAGACATGTGTGTGGGACGTGCCTAAGCCCTTTAGGATAGTTCTTGTGAAAGGCAGCAAGGTGAACGCAGAGGAAACTGCCAAGGTAAACTCTTCTTGTTTGCATCTAATAAAAAGTCATGTGTGTACCTATTAGTTTGTCACTGCACAAACCTTGCAAACACACCTGTGCCATCTGTCTTTCCATTTTCACACAAACTAGCAAAGATATTTTGTCTAGGTTTGCATCTATGGCCATTGGCAGGTTGGCTTGTAATTATAAAATTCAACCCTTCCTGCCGTACACAGGTCCAGGTTAGGGCGGGGCTCTTTCACGGTACAGAGCTTCTCTGCAAGCCGGCAGTTAGCAACGAGAGTAGCGGGCGCTCAGAGCACACGTGGAAAGACAACACAGTGGAGTTTGAAATCTCAGTTTGTGACCTGCCCCGCATGACCCGCCTTTGTTTTGCTATCTATGCCGTGATGGACAAGGTTAAGAAGCAAAAGTCCACCAAAAATCCACACATCAACAAGTATCAGACCATCCGCAAGGCGGGGAAAGTGGTGAGTGGGACGCACATTATCAGACAAGTGCCTTTTTTCCAAACTATCTTATATTGACTAGCATTTAATTGTATGATCCAGCATTACCCCATAGCTTGGGTCAACACCATGGTGTTCGACTATAAAGGGCAGCTGAAGACTGGAGACATCATCCTGCACTGCTGGTCATCATTTCCTGGTATAGACACACACAAAGTCGCGGTATAATTTAATAATTAATAAAGGGCAAATTCATATCAGCTATGCATGTGTGTCTCTCCTGCCCAGATGAACTTGAAGAGATGCTGAACCCCATAGGAACCATTCAGACCAACCCATACACTGAGAACGCTACAGCACTGCACATCCACTTCCCAGAGTACTCTTCACACCCCATCGTCTTCCCTCCTTTTGACAAGGTCACACAGCAGTCAATCGTCATATTCGGTCAAATTAATAAGATGATACCCATTTGCCCTTTGAAAACGTACCAATTAGCTTAAATTTGTGATGTATGGATAAACACTATTCATCTGCGAATGAAAACTGAGTATGGGCTTTTTTGATAGCATGAGTTCAGCTGAAATTGTCAGCAGAGTGGCTTAGTGCTCTTCAAAATGGTACCTAGTGATTATGATGAAGTGGTAGCTGTTAGCATGAGAGGATCAGGACGTGCTCGGCCTGCTTAATGCACTCTGATGCATCAGTGTGCGTTCACTCATGCATTTTTTTTTTTCATTTGAATTTTTTGCAGATACTGGAAAAAGCTGCAGAGATGGTCAGCGCTGACTGTGTGTCCATTGTGAGTTCATATACAAAAAAGGAGTTGACTGTGTGCGAATGTGTTTAGATGATTGAATTCATTCAGAATACATAAAAGTGCAGCAAAGCTGAAAGCACAGTGATTGCTACATGATGGCTTACACGAAATGTGAGAAATGATGCAGCATGCCCATCTCTCTCCTCACACACTCTTAGAGTCACACAATACAAATATAACCTCAACAGGCACCCGTTTGCTAGTTTCCTTGGAAACCCATTGTTATTACTTTGGCAGGGTGTAGCTGCAAAAATATTCAAATCCTCTTCAAAAGTACAAAACTACGCACGCTAATCAGATTACATGTACGTTTTCCTCTTACCGCCCCTCAACTGAAAACCCACTCATGGGTGTGTTACAGCCAGTTACGTAATCTGCTGTTACTTAGAGGGCATGCCTGAACACGGTCTCTTTTTTCCTTTTTCTTTTTTTAAATATGCAGTCTGTGCGTGAGAGAAACTAGATTATCGCTGACTAAAAGTTGTAATTTCATTGTTACAGCGTGTCATGTTACATATTAGTATAGAGCGCTGTACAGCTCAGCTGTTATTTACCTGTAAAGAACGTGAATGTCAGGACTTGGGTTACATTTTGTAGCTACTAAAATCCTGCCTCCCTTTGTTGAATCAGACACTTTACAAGTTTTTAACAAACAAATGAATGCTAGTTCTTGGCCCACTCATGCACATTGCAAAGATGGTGAGAATGTTACTACTTTAATGCTCTCCTGCCCTCATGTGGTTATTTACAGTAAATGCAGTTGCTCATCTACACGCTCTGAGTTCCTTACGTCCACCTTTCTGCTCCTTTGTATCTCAAAATCCCAAACCCAGCTGACCTTTTCTCTTTTCTGAACCGTTTTGCTCTCAGGGTCGTGGTGTTAAGAAATTCTACATGGAGCTGAAGGAGATCATGGAGCGTGACCCGGTCTCTCAGCTCTGTGAAAATGAAAAGGATCTGATCTGGACACTACGACAAGATTGTCGTGAGACTTTCCCCCAGTCGCTGCCCAAGCTGCTACTCTCTGTCAAGTGGAGCAAACATGAGGACATGGCCCAGGTTAGGAAGCATATCCATTGTTATGGGGTGTTACTGAGGATATAATGATATTAAGTCAGCACTTGTTTCAAGGTTTTAAAAAATTGATTCTTTAAAAAGCAAACTGTTTGATTCAGTGCAATCCCATACAATTCAGAAAAGGTCATATTTCATATATTGAGCTTATGCACAAATGTCAGTCTCATATTTTTACTACTTTTGACATAAAATGTGTGACAGTATCTCTTAATGTATAGTAGTCTGAGCTCTACAAATGTTATGGGTTGGTGTCAAAAATGCACAGCACGGATATGATGTGCAATGTTAAGAGGGTCCTATGAAACTTGGTCACACCTTCATCTACGTCTATGAGTGCAGGCAAGTTGCACTGAATTTAAACTGTCCTCCTTGAAACTAAAATCTAATTTAATAATAAACCCACAGCTGCCAGCACTGTTGTGAGAAGCAGAGAGCCGTCGGTCACGGCACAGATGAAGCAAAAAGCCTGTGATAGTCTCTACTTGGGGGCAAGATTATCACTGTTGAAATGATTAACTGCATCATAATAAAGTCACTCACACTCAACCGTATTTACAGAAAAGAAATTGCAGTCCTAACCGTTGTTGCTATAGAATTTATTAGCATCTTTATTATCTGTGACCCCATGGGCATTTGATTCACAGGTCCATTTAAAAACTAAAAGCATTCCCTGATGTCAAATGTATCAGTCTCTATCTCTGTACTATTGCTATGTGTAGCGTAAATTAGTCCTCTGGGGTGAGGCTGTCGGCTCTAATATTCAGACGAAATGATCACAACTGTAGTGTGTGTGCTAAGGAAACATGGGAGTTTTTTTGGCCAGTCTTGCTCACCACCTAGGCCACTTGCCAGATTTGGCTTCCTCGAACTTAGTCAACTTCCCTGAAATGGATAACGAGTTTTGCACTTCAGAAGTTCTACAGTGTATTTAACAGGAGTGATCTAAAAATAAGAGAAGGTGCATGAGAAGATGGCTCTAAACAGGAGAATGATTTTGATGCTTTAGGATCTGTTGTCCTTTTTGGTCACACATCATATCTAACTGATTAAATGTCAGCATATCTGTTTCTAAAGTTGTTTGTCTCTCCCAGCTCCAGGCACTGCTCCAGATTTGGCCCAAACTGAGTCCTAGAGATGCTCTGGAGCTGCTGGACTTCAACTATCCTGACCAGTATGTCAGAGAGTATGCTGTGCGCTGTTTAAAGGACATGAGGTAAATCCTTGCACACTTTTATGAAATGCAGTAGACTTCACTGTCATGTATTACATTTATTATACGCTCCAATAAAGTATGCTTTTTTCTTTGTTCCATATACATCAACTGACCACAAACACACTTGGTCTGTTTTAAATGCTGTTAATCATACACTGGATTACATTACTGTTTAGAAAAATGGTCTTTCTAAGTTTCTGTCTTCCTGTTTCTTCTTTCCCCTCATCAGTGATGAGGAACTGTCACAGTACCTGCTACAATTGGTGCAGGTGTTGCGTTACGAGCCCTATTATGACTGCGCCCTCACTCATTTCCTGTTAGAGCGTGCTCAAAGAAACCGCCAGATTGGACACTTCCTCTTCTGGCATCTACGGTGGGTGTGGTTGTGTGTGCGCGTGTGTGTGGAGGCAATTGAGTGTTGTGGAAATAAACATGCAGGCTTTGAACAGTTACATATTCAAATTAAGGGAGAAGGAGAGGGAATGTTTGAAATTTCTAGATGTTTCTCGTTTGTCCATTCCTCCTCTGTGCTGCCCTCTACAGGTCAGAGATCCACATGCCAGCTGTTTCAGTCCAGTTTGCGCTAATCCTAGAAGCCTATTGTAGAAGCAACATCCCTCATATTGAGGTTCTAAAGAAACAGGCAAGCTGAACGCACCCACACACACCTATTCTCTCACACTATTAAAAAAAATGGTAAAAGTGATGACGGCTTTGTTTTAGACTCCCACGTTTCATTTGCAAATCTTAAAACTTGCTGGAGGCAGAAATCTTAAAGTATTGCAACTGTTATTTCAGGCAGTCAGGACATGATGTACATATGTCATTATTAAGATTTAATTAATAAATCATCAACATTTTTCCGTTACTCAAATATGCTGAAATGTTTTATTGCTAGAAACTGCAGTTTTACTTTGAAAAATCTGCACACACCTGACAGATTAGTGCTGATCTATTAAGTTCAGCTGGGGTAGCTCTATGGTATTTTTAGCCTCTCCAGTGCCAGCATTGTCACCCATCCTGCCCGCTGACCTTTGGCCCCTACACTGTTGGTTTTGACAGTCTCTTCTCAAATCATTCTGTGACTTCCTTATCATTTATCTGGCCAAATTTCCTGTTTGGTAGCGTATACACAGTGGTGACACAATGCTGACGTTGTCTATTTCAGGAGAATGATATCAGTTCTTAGTAACAGGAGAACTTTGTTCACGGGGTTAAATCAAACCTGTATGTTTGGTTCTGTTACATTGTTGTTCTCTTGATACTCCAGGTGGAAGCCCTGAGTAAGCTAAAGTCAGTCAATGAGCTGATTAAATTAGGGACCATCAAGAACACTCGTAGTAAAACCAAGGAAGCAATGTTGACCAAGGAGGCCATGATGACATGTTTAAGACAGAGTGGATACTCGGAGACTCTTTCAGACCTTCACTCCCCTCTAAACCCCAGTGTCCTGCTGTCTGACATCAAGTAAGATTACACAAGTTTTTATGTATTCATACCAGAGTGTGACAATCTTTGCTCTTACAGGAAGCTGATGGGTCTTTTTTTCTCTCTACAGTGTGGAGAAGTGTCGGTATATGGACTCAAAGATGAAGCCCCTCTGGATTGTTTACAACAACAAGCTGCTGAGTGGAGACACCCTGGGAATCATCTTTAAGAATGGAGACGGTAGGGATCAGAGAAGGGGGGAGGGGTTTTGGAAAGGTGGAGCTTAAAAGAAGCAGGAAGTGGCAAAGGGGTGGAAGGAGAAAAGTCATCCTTCTAGCTAAATATTGCCTTTTTTTTTCCAAACTGAGGCACTTTTCCAGTATTCATCTTGCCTTTTACTCCTAGACCTAAGACAAGACATGTTGACCCTCCAGATTTTGAGGTTAATGGACCTTCTCTGGAAAGAGGCAAATCTGGACCTCAGGTGAGTTTTTGTGTGTGTGCGTGTTAGACTGACAGATTTTTGCCAAGATTGTTTTTCTTCTTCCTGTGCTCTGTGGGGAATTAATCTCCCCATGCTAGTTAGACCTCTGGCCTCATTTTCTAAACATGTGTACAGAGTTGTGTACAGGCACACATGTACTACACCCTGACCCATATATTCTATTGCTAATAGAAAATAATATTTAAAAAATGACCCCATCATTTTTCTTTAGAATTACTTGAACATGCTGTGTACATATGTTACACAGGGTTGCGCTCTAAAAGCTGCATCAACCCCAGAAATTTTCTGTGCAATTCTGAAAGGCAAAAACCTTTTAATCAAATCCACACTTCACACTTTGCAAAAACCCTCTTTATACATAGACCTACACATCTGGAGCTAAGCAGTGGAGGGGGGTGTTTTGACAGTTGAGCCTGTGGCCAGTGTTTCAGATTACAGGGACAACAGGTTCACAGTTCAAAAGCAGTGGGACACTGGGAATAAAAACAGGGACGATATAATAAAAATACTGAGATATTTTATCACATGTACTCTTCCTTGTCAGCTGTCTCTATTATACTTTACTTTGCTTTTTAATTTATGAGTTAGACTGAGAAACAAACGCCTTTAGGGCATTTGGTCTCCATTAAAGTCTGTCAAACTGCTAATAAAATCTCTAAACTAAGCCTACTCTGAGTGTAGAGTATTGGGTTTAAAAGACTAGGAGGGCGCTGTGTTTAATAGAACAGTGAAGAGGTCATTGTAAGCAGGTCCACGTCACAAAACAAGGACCTGCTGCCATCTTGTGGAACTGAAGGAAGTTAAAGTGAAAATACTGTTACGCGGTTGGTCATGTTATCGCCAAAGTATTGTTCCACACTGGGAGTGCAAAAAGAGAGTTGGGGGGGGGAAACCCCTCACGGTTACATTTATCTACTTACCCAGAAACCTGTCACACATGTATTACTGAGCAAGATCTGAGAATTACTTCATTTGTATGTTAAAGGACAAAAGTCATTGCATCAGATATTTCAAGTGTCTAAGTGTCTATCCATGTATAAACCGAAACTAATAAATGTTCTGATATTGTTACGCTCTCCTCTGTCTATACAGAATTGTACCATATGGTTGCCTGGCAACAGGCGACCGCACCGGGCTGATTGAGGTCGTCTCATCTGCAGAAACAATCGCCAACATCCAGCTGACCAGCAGCAATGTAGCAGCAGCTGCGGCATTCAACAAGGATGCTTTGCTTAACTGGCTCAAAGAGAGGAACTCTGGGTAAGCTGGAGCCCGGTGATCAGATAAAAGGCTGCAGCCTCAGAAATGATCTTAAGTGTTGTTTGTGGTTGTGCATTTACAGTGATGCTCTTGACCGGGCCATCGAGGAGTTCACTCTGTCATGTGCAGGCTACTGTGTAGCCACTTATGTCCTGGGTATTGGAGATCGCCACAGTGACAACATCATGGTCCGCAGCAATGGACAGGTTAGACAATCTGAGTTTTCTTTTTCCATTCTCCACCTGGTTTTTCCTGATTCCACAGGCTTCACTGATTGGCTTTGTGTGTTTTGGGGGTTTTTTTGTTTTCTTTTTTAGCTCTTTCACATAGACTTCGGTCACATCCTGGGCAACTTCAAGTCAAAGTTTGGCATCAAAAGGGAGCGTGTACCATTTATCCTCACACACGACTTCATCCACGTCATACAACAGGGCAAGACTGGAAACACAGAAAAGTTTGGCAGGTTTGTTTCACTTTGCTGTTTACCTCCAGCCCCAGCACCTCTGTTCACACGAACCACTGTGATTCAAACTGTAACTTCAACCATTTATTGCAATTATTGTGGACCATCAGCGGGCGGCCAGAACAGGGGGTGCAGCAACAGAAGGAGTTTGCTGTCTTAAATGCATGCTGCCATTTTTCATTTCATTTAAATGGCGCAGACTGGCTACACAATCTAGTCAAAATACAACTATTACTGAGAATTTTCTACAGAAACATAGTGTCCACTCATACCCAGAAACCTCCTAAATTGACGTCTAGTGGGTGGAACTAGGTAGCTCAATACTTGATAAAACATAATAGTTTCAAAAGAACTACAGGAGTTCAGCTATTACACTTCATGTATCTGAACACTGGTTCTCCAGTTTTGTTTTAACTTGGGGGACGTACACAAACTTTATTCATACGAGCAGATCAGAAATGCATTTTCTCTCAAAGCTATTCAGTGCTTTGAAATCAGTTCTTTGACAGAAGTCTGTGTAAAGATCAGAGAACCGGAGTGATCTGATATGCTTTCCTGTTCTTGGTGAGGATTCAAGAGTCAGCATTTTAGAGAGACCTAGAAACATCCCCTTACTATAATGGAGCTGAGTGAAAGGTTTTAGCAACTCACAAGCGTATGATTGGTAAGTTGATAGAAGACTAAAATGTTAAGTTTTTGTTTCTTGGTTGATTTTTTTTTTCTTGATTTACCATCCTGAAAATTGCAACTGACTTCATCATGCTATGAAAAAGCTACATACATTACATGACAGAAAATGCTCAATTTCCATTTGTATTTCTAAGTAACTCTGAAGTGATATTCCATCTGCAAACTTTAAAAAAAAAAAAAAAATGGTTATAGCCACATAGGAATGACATTACAGCTTTAGCAGTGTCAGTGCAGTACCTTCTCCCTCCAGCAGTTGGCAGTAGAGACTCGGTGAACAGCATGTGTCACTGAGCAAAAATGTGCTCAGTGAAGGATACAGCTTTCTACTTTTATTCTTCCTTTATATGAAATTTGGACAATCCAAATATAATAGAAAACATCCATGTAAGGCATTATGTTCTCTAGTAATCTAAAAGCTGCTCTGGTAACTGTTGTTGCTGGTTCTTTTTCTTTTGCTAAAGGAAAGAAAAAAAAAAAAGTTTAAAAGAAAAACCTGTGCAGAGCTGCTGCTGCCAAGTCAAGAAAAATATGGGTTTGATACTACATTAAGTTATTGCTCAGCGATAATGATACCTAAGCTCAGACATGTCAGTCACGTGGAATGGTGCATGTATTGTGTTTGCAGAATGAGGTGCACGTTGGCGGTGGTGTGCAAAGGCATTATGAGGCAATTGCTCTCTGTTGTTTACAAAGTTCTGATCTGTTGTGGAACAAGTAGATGATTCATTTTGTGACGTGGAAATACCCGTGTGGTCTAGTAATCTGTTATTGTGGCCTATATGCATATCTGCATTTGTAACTGTCTCACAAGAAGGTAGATGCCTAGAAGCAAGTCCTGTGAAACATATGTTTTTGCAGCTGAAGTTACTATAATTGAGCAATAAATGAACCAATAATATAAATAATGTCTTCATTACTACTGAAGAGCTTAAAGACCAGCCCAAGGCATTAAATGTTTAATTACAATTACCTCATGTCTGCATGCATAAGACCCAGTATGCTGAAGCAACATTTGAAGTTATCCAGCTAATCTGCACAGCAGTGCGCTGGTGAAGAGCAGCGCAGAGATGCACATCCTGCATGACGTGAGCTTGAAAATAACCTTTATCGCTCAGCAAAGCATACTGTAAAAAGAAAAGTGGAGTAGCGGTGCATTGCTGCGTCAGTTGTGGTTTAATATCTGGCACATTGTGTACAAAATGTGACAGTTGGCATTTCCCTCTGGATCACAAGAAGTATTTATCAGAGGTGTCTTTTTGTGGTCTTTGCGTGCTTAAAAAAAATTATGCAGCAAGCTTTTACTAAAGCTAGAAGAGCAACTGTGATTGTGTCCTTCAGAAGTCTGCAAGGAAAAAGGTGGATTCAAAATGCTTCTTACAAGCAGAGACAAAGTCATGAGTGCAGCGAGTTACTGCATGGTGAAAAGGAAGTGTGTCACGTTACGAAGAGCGTGTTGGTCCACCCTTTAGCTCAGACACATTTGTGTTGCTAGCAACAAACAGTGTAAACAAAAACCTTGAATCACAATCACTGACTTCACCATGTGTACTTTGTTAGCATGGGTGGTTGTAGCTCAGGAGGTAGAGCATGAATGCATGCGAATGTTGGCTAGAAAGCTCTTATATTGAAAAAAGTGCTGGTGTGAATGAGGCAAGTTGTGTGAAGCACTTTGAGTGCTCAGGTCGAGTAGAAAAGCTCTGTGTAAAAACAAGTCCATTTAGCATTGTTTTATACATCAAATAACTCAAATACAGTTATGAAGTGAACTGCAATAAAAAACAGGCATACAAATGGAGTTTTTGTTCTTTTTCTTTTGTTTTTTTTGCTCAGTTATAGTCTGTATTTACAGTTTCCTGTAAAAAAAAAAAAAACAAAAAAAAAAAACCTTGAATCAAATGGGCACAGCAGTTATTTTTGTAATGGGTTCAGTGGCCAGCAGTCTGTGCTCACTAAGAAATTCTGTGCATAAGGTTTTGTTAGAAAACTGAAATGTATTTTGGAACATTGTATTGGTTTTAGGAATGGGGGAAAAAAAACCCTTTATAATAAAGTTCAAGAAAGATGGGGTTTGATTGACGAGTGAATCATCCCCTAAAGCCCCATTTCACAATTTTAACAGGGAGCGATTTAGAGCCACAGCAGAGCAGCCTTTTTCTCAAGCCTTTTTCCACCTGTCTTAACAACTCCATTGGAAGTTTCAATGGATGGTACTGTTCGCATGTTCTCTTTTAGCTTTTGCTTTCACATTGGTGCAGATAAAATCTGACTGATTTATGGTTTTTATTTTTTATTTGTTTGTTTTTAAGAAAATACAATAGACTTCATTAGAAAGCAAATAATTGAAACCATGTTCCAAAATGACTAACGTGTGTTTGTCTCTGTGTGCTCCTGTAGTTTCCGACAGTACTGTGAGGAGGCCTATCTAATCTTGAGGAAGAATGGCAACCTCTTCATTACACTGTTTGCCCTCATGCTGACTGCTGGACTACCTGAGCTCACTTCAGTTAAAGACATCCAGTACTTAAAGGTACGACAATCACAAGTGGCGATGCAAGGAGAGCACAAAAACTGTAGTTCTGTTACAGTGTGCATGTATAGATATGGTGTTGTAGTGGTGGAATGCACAAACATATCAGTATTTTATAAAGATTAACCAAATATTTTAGCTTGGCTTTGCATCCATATCATCCCGTTTTCTTTTTAGACCCCTACCTATGGTAAATGGCCTGTATTTGTATAGCGCACTTTGGGGTCCCACCTAGGGACCCCAAAGTGCTTTACACACCCAGTCATCCACCCATTCACACACACATTCACACACTGGTGGAGGCAAGCTACAGTTGTAGCCACAGCTGCCCTGGGGCAGACTGACAGAAGCGAGGCTGCCATATCGCGCCATCGGCCCTTCTGGCCAACACCAGTAGGCGGTAGGTGAAGTGTCTTGCCCAAGGACACAACGACCGAGACTGTCCGAGCCGGGGCTCGAACCGGCAACCTTCCGATTACAAGGCGAACTCCCAACTCTTGAGCCACGATCTACCTCCTGTAAAATTTCCATAAATCATCTTTAAAAAAGAGCTGCTTATAGCTTCAGGACCTTCATAAGAATCTTGATACTAACATTATTTCTTCAGTGTCAGTAATTCAGTCATTGTTCCTAAACCTTGCTATTTTTCGACCATTATGTCATCATGAAGTTAATTCATATGGGGGTGATTTGTCTTCCGGATTTCAGCGTAGAATCTTTTTATAAAAATATTAATATTCTCCAAATTGGTACTCTACAGATACACATGTCTATAACATTTTAAATAACTGAGTGTCAGCATGTATGCAGGGAGACTACATCTTCATCCTCCTGCCCCCATGACTTATCCTGTCTTACTTTCCGCTCCCTTTTCAGGACTCCCTGGCTCTGGGTAAAACTGATGAGGAGGCCCTCAAGCAGTTCCGCCAAAAGTTTGATGAAGCCCTGAGAGAGAGCTGGACAACTAAAGTGAACTGGATGGCCCACAATGTGGCCAAAGACAACCGGTCTTAGGGCAGCTGTAACCTTTCAAAGGCTAGGGGAGTGGTGCCAAGAGGACGCAGTGAGGGAACGTGAGAGTGTGAGGGAAGAGGCAGGATGTGCCAAGGAGACAGGGTGACAGAGACCCTAATTTAAAGAAGGGAATCTAGCAGAATATCCAAAACTTGAGCAGACCCCCCCCCCCCCCTGTACTATACAGAATAAAATCTGCCCCCTCATTCTTCAGTTAAGCTACTCTGCATTCTTACTTGCTGTATCCCTCCTCACCTTGCATCACACTGGCACGGTGCCCCGTGAGCCATCTTCATTCATGGTCTTCTGACATTTCAGTGGAATCACGGTGGGTAATGTCATTGCAGATTTTGCACAGGCACGAAAGCCGATGGAGCACGCAGCCAAAGGAAGGGAACTGAAGCACCCACTGTGCCCACGCTAAACCTTCTCAGACAAAACTCCACACAGAACAGGCTGAACTACTGGCTAACAAGATAAAATTTAGGAGTGGCTGAGTTATGTCAGATGGACTTGAAACTCTGCCTGAACAGACCCTGATGGAGTGCATATTGTGCCCACACCCCTGAACTTGTTTTAAGTAGAGCTAAGAGATGGGTGTAGAAAGGACAGAATGAAATGGACAAGAAAAAAAAAAACCTCTGACTCTGTGTCTTAAAATGGTGTGCACCACAGGAAGTGCATCTTAACACTCGCTTCCCGTCTCAGTGTGCCTAAAAGAAAATTCAGGAAGATTGTATCGTTTCGGACATTTCTTTTTCCTCTGCCATTTAAGAATGTATCCCTGGATGTGGATGTGCCAGAGTACAAGTCCACAAAGTCAACTTGTGAGGGAAATGATGAAAGAGAAGGACTGATGCGAGAGATGCTCTGAGCCTACTGGTCCACTGTCTGAATCTCACTTCACTTGGACCGTTGAACACTGGAATGTTTATAGAGAGGCATATATAAGAAATTTTAAATAGTCTTTTAATAAACTAAACAGTTCATTCTAGTTTATTTTATTCTGAATTGACAATGTGCGTCGTCTCTTTGTCAAATCAAAAGCATTGTTGGCCAAAGTGTTATCGCCTGCCAGTTACCACTACCCCAGATTGTCCTCCTTTTTAAAGAATTCAACGCATTACAGCCACCAAGTACACTGAGAAATAACTGATGCTTTTAACATGGTAGGACCAAAACAGAAAAAATGTTTAGCAGTTTCTTTTTGTTCTTTTTTTCTACTGTATTTTTAACAGTCTGTTTCCATCGAATGTGCAGATATGTGCCGCTCTATTTAAGTGTATTTAGCCCCTTTCAGACATGGGATGAGTAACATTACTGACTGACCTGTCAGTGAGACAAGCTGCATGGTACTGCTGAGTGAGCTGCCCCCACCCTTCCCACACAGGCTCCAGTGAGGAAGATGTCTTCTGGACCGGCAAAGATGAAAATCATCATTTAAGGGCATTCACTACTGACGGAGCAACTCACAAGGATGCTTAAAAGACGGGCCCAGTCATGTCATGTGACCTGAAGTGTAAAAAATTATACAAAAATGCTTCTGGTGAGACTGATAGCTCAACTTTTCCATTAAAGTGAGCAGACATGACGGTGGCCTGTTCAGGTGCCCACAGGTTAATTGGAAGGAGTGCATTTCTGAAAGGGCTTTTTGTCCTCATACAAGCAGATGTGGGCGGAGTCTGAAGTCTGGACCTGTGTGGGTGGGATTTATCAGTAGGGACATTACACTGCAATGTAAAGCTATTTACTTGTTTCAACATATGGTGCTCTACCAGCATCTGCGTCTGTTTGGAATTTTTCTTATTTTGTTTTTTGTTTTTTTTCTGTGCAATATCCCAGTATATGAACCATATCTAATCATATGAAACATTGGTCCCGGGCCCAAGCCTGTAATGGTTTTGCCTGCTGGTTTATGTGTGATGCAGCTGCATTTTGCACTACCTGCCTTCAGAAGTCTCAGACACTGGATATTGTCAAATGTACAGGCTTTTAATGTTTTGCTGGTTTCTGTTTTCATAGGAGTTTTATTAAATTTATTTTCCACTGTGCTGCATTTCTGTCTGTGGTCTTTTTCTATTCTGCTGCTTGATGTGGGCTGAGTGACTTCTGCGCCTACATAGGCCTATGGATATTTTTTTTCCCTCTTCTAAGAGGCAAGAGAACTTTTTGATTCTAGACAGAAATATACACAGGCTTATTTTCGACAGCTATTTTTGCTAAAAAATATAAAAGTCAAACCAGTTTGTATACATCCAGAAATGAGTGAGTCTAGTTATAAGAGAAGTTTCCCTCTTTTCTGAGAGTTGTATGTACATAAATGGTAAGCCCCCCTTACTATTTAATATTCTCCTCTATTTTAATTTAAATAAAAAATATCAAAAGGGCAGAAGGTTTCAAACCCTCTGAAATTTTACAAAAATGTGATGCCCTCTCTAGCAAAAACTGCAGGCAACTTTTTTTAAGACCAGTTTGTGTATTATGAATAATCCCATGTTCCCATGCTGGTACGTGTCCACTACAGAAACATGTTTTAGTAGGAAGATGGCCCTTACTGCACTGAATAAAACATTCAAAAACAGCTATAGGAACACGACTGTTAATGCTGCTTTAGTTTCCAAATTCCCCAGCTCTCAATTAGATTGAACTAATAATCTTCAGAACCGTCTCACTGCACCTTTCAACTTATCTGCCATTAACTTCTTGGTGACTCACCCAACGGATAAACTCAGAGGTCTTTAGCACATACCTTGAAAAGTCAGAGCTTTTCTGGCAGGGTGGGGGCGAGCTGAATTTAGGTATAGGTGGCTTTAATGATCTGGCTGCATGCATAAATTTGCACGTAGTTAAAAAAGTAATATTTCCACCAGTGAAATTAGCTGTTAAGTGTAGACTTGAAAAACAAAAGCAAATAGAATTCAGCCATCAAACTTGCACATGTCAGTAGCGCTGTTTTTCACCTATCTCTACAGTTAGAGGACCATAAGGGGATTTTTATAAATGCCACCCTGCTCATCATGAAGCTCCTTTTGTGTCTGAGCGGTACAAAAATGCTCTTTATTGCTGTTTGGATGACTCGGGGACTGATTTTTATTTTTCTCTGTGGGCAATGCTAACAAAGTCACTACCTCCAGAGATCATCAATTATCGGTTCTCTTTCACTCGGGCTACAATCAGTGCTCTGTGTGACTCATCTGCTGTACGTGTGTTGTTCTTCAGTGCAGTTACATAATACAGTAACCTGTAGAAGCTTTGGTCGTAGGGAGTGTAGGCACGGTGTCAGATATTGTGTATACTGGGTGAAAACAACTTTTTTTTTCTTCAAATTTTCAACAAATTTGACACTGTTGGGGATTTATTTAAAATAGTTGGAAAACCACTTCAGGTGACTACATAATGAAGCTCATCCAATGCAAGGAGTGTGCAAACAGTCATGAAAATAAAGGTGTGTCCAACCTTTTGACTGGTTTTGTGTGTGTGTGTGTGTGTGTGTGTGTGTGTGTATATATATATGCTATTTATATATTTTTCAACTATTAAAATGTGTAAAAGTTAGGAACGAATCTGTAATAGCAGCTTCATATTAATATAATTAGTATTACATCACTGATGACTTCACACTACATCACAGACTGTATATTACAGATAGATGTAGCTACTTCGATGTGACTGTTTGTGGGCATTTAGAAGGCTCAACATTAGCATTTTGTCCTGCCACCATGGTAGGTTTTTTTGGAGACAAATGTGACCATATTTATATGGGATGGTGGCTTGCTATGTTATCAGCTAAGGCTGGCTAGCCATGTTAGCAAGCTGCATTAATAAACTATATAAGTTCAATACACAGACTAATTGGTGCCAAGTATCAGACTAATAAAATAGTAGATTTTCTTACTGAAATTTAAAGCACAAACCTTTTAGATAGGTTGCACCACACAGTCTATCATATACTTCCATTAGAAATGCTCCAAAAAGCACACGGACACAGGTCATGTTCAGGACACTGAACTACTTAAGTCCAGAACTGATCAGATGTAGCACCTATCAGTACAAATGGCAACACTTCTGAAGAGACTTATGGGCTAGAGTCGCAATACAATAAGAACTAGAAATTTTGAAAGGACTTCATCCTCCCTAGTTTTTAGAAGTAACTGTGTATATAAAGATATACAGAATTATTCCTTCATTTGGCATTAAAATAGTATAAGGGGGAAAAGTTACTGGTTCTGACCCCACTGTGCCTTTGAGTCACACCTTCCAAAACAATTGCTTATGATGTAGCCTATGCATCAGCTTAGCCCCCTAAACCCAGTAAGAGGGACTCTAGTCCAAGCCATCATTTTGTAGGAATACCATAAACTTTTCAAAGTAAAAGCCATAGAAAGTGTCACCCACTGATTCATGCCGTTTTTTCCTGCCTTTCCTGTCTTGTTTCGAAAAGGGTCCAAAATTCAGGCCTCTGTGACTTCATAGCTTGTGTCAGGTACAATGGCATAGCTGTAAACTAATGCTGAATACTTTTAAATTCTGTAAAACTGGACATTTTCACGTGAAATTATATGACTAGTGATTTGCTTTTGGAGCCAGCCCGTGTGGCGTTTAGGGGTACTGCAGTTTTTAGAAATTTTGCAGTGGTTTCATTTTCCAGCATCCAGAGGTTGCTGTGTCATCCTTTACACCCTGATAACACTGTATATAAATTATGTTTGCATCCAAACAGATATTTCGGGGCAAAACAGTTATGTTCTACACTTTTCACGCCTCACTTTATTTTCTCATTCATTAGCCATATCTTTAAGAATCCAAATATGTACATCTTAAAAAATTTAAAGCAGACAAATGGTTAATATGAACTGTGTAGTTTCACATGTGGGGCAATTAATGAAGAGGATTTCTGGTTAGATAATCATGAACAACAGTCAAAGCAGATGAAGCTATACACAGGATGATTCAGTCTTGTTTAGGGACTTCCACCCACCTCCAGGATCTCCAAGCCTGCTCCCACTGCCAGCAAATGCGCGTAGTTTAGGGAGGAGTTAAAGGAGGGGTGATTCATGAATCAGTCTAATTATACAGAGTCAGATCCACCTACACTTATAACCAAAGATGTCCTGAGAAAAACACAAAGCAAACATGCTAGCAGGAGAGCCTGTTGCTGGGCTCTGGGTGATATCATAAAAGTGGCTTTATAAAGTGTAGGCTGAGAAGGAGGGTGTTCGTTCTCACATGTTATAAGGAGTGCAGGTTTTTGCATGGTGTGTTGCTACCTGAGCCAGGGTGGGTGGCTGCCACTTGACAAGCAGTTACAAAGCTTAGAATCCTGCTTACGCAGGTAAACTGCTCTGTGGAGGATCTTGGCTAGAAAAGAGAAAATATTGTGTTGTGGCTATCATGCCAGCTTGTGGGAAAATATCCAGCAGGTGCTGTCCAGTCCCAGAAAAACAGTGATGAATAAGCTTGGCACATAGCAGCCCATTAAAAAAATGTAATAAAAGACTGCAAACCTTTTATTTCAAAGCATAATGACGCAATCAAGACGTAAAGGCCGTTTTTAAAATGTAGTTTGCTTTGGTTTGTTTGCATGGCATATGATACACATCTGTACGTTAACTAACAAATGTATGTGGGCATGGTTTATCTGTGGTCTCTGAATGGAAAAAAAAACTCGCCACAACTGAAGGGTAGAAATAGATGTGACGCAAGTAAGAATGTGTCAAGCTTCCCCACCACAGACCTGTCCCTTTGCTTCGATAAACACTTTCACTGCATTATCGATGCTTGCGCATCTGTTGAAAAGGTCACACAGGTGAAACATTTCAAGGCTTCCAACAGCAATCACGCAATAACTCGCACTTGCCTTCCCGAAATGAGTTTCTAACTTTTAGACTGACTGTCATTTTCTGTGACACTTTTTTCTCTCTGTCATCATCAGTTCCTGTTCGTTTCCTCCTTGCATTTTTTCATTTATGTAATTTTAACATTTGATAGGTTGTTGTGGATTCTGCTACTCACGCAGTCGTAACTGCCCCACTCTCACACAACATGAGATTCCACGTGCAGTCAAAGCCTTGTTTATATAAAACGACGGACAGCACTTTAGGCCAATAAGCTTCCGATATCGCATTTCCGTCACGTTCTCCATGGAAACCCCTTGCATCCAGCCAATCGGAAAAAGCACAGGGAGGAGTCTAAATTGAGGTCGCGAGCCGGGCTCGGCGATTCGCTGATAGGCCTGTGCTGGAGAGAACCGGGGAGGATCCATTCACTACTGTGTCAAGCCGTCTGACGCTCTGCTCCCATTGAGGAATACTGAACGGTATAACTGGATAGTTTTTACGTGTCGCTTTTGACTTTACATCTCGCTGGAGACCACCGGAGAGAGGATTTTTCCAACTACTGCTCAGGTTGGTCAGCTTTCATTTGCGCCCTTTCATTTTAGCAAAAAAGATTGACGAGCGAAAAAATAAGTTGCATAACAAAAATGCGGTCTGCGCATGCGTGAACCCCGAGTTGCTCTACTTATTGTACTTTTAAAACCAAAAAATGCCGGTTATATTTTTTCTGTTCAGTCAGACAGCTAGATAAATGTTATCTTTTATGAAATATGTCCTCTGCGGGTATCTCGCCGTGGATTTGTGGCTGTTTTTTAACGATTCGGTTACTTTTACATAACTGTGTCAGTGTACCGTGCACTGGATTGCAGGTCAACGTGTGTGTGGATTTTGAATAGCAGGTCAATGGGAGTCAGATGGGGGAAGGGGGGGTCATTTTTAATGTTTTTTCCTTTAATATAAACGTTATCTAATACGAGAGTATCTATGTGAGAAATTTCATATGCACGGAAGTGTAATATTAGACGTATAAAAAGGCTCTTCGTCAGGTTTACTTTTTAGCTGCTCGCACTCGAAACACTTTTACAAAATGGCTTTGAATTGTTGGCACAATTATGGCCCGAGGAAGTGGTTTAATTTCTTTATATAAGATTTTTAAAAGTGTTTGTTAAATGTTTGGATTGACAGACCTGGGGAAGAAGAATAATCAGATTAAGATTATTTC